AAAAGATACACTAGCAAAAAATAAAAATATTTTATGTAGGTTACTCACAGTACCTTTCCAAAAGAAAGAGTGAAATGTCCACCAGCAACAACTAAGAACGGTTATGCTAGGGGAAGGAAAAAACAGAGGGGAGAAGGTAGGATGGAAGACTTCCTAAATGTACCATTTTTTTTCTTCTTGATTAATAACAGAAAACAATATGAAACGAAATTAACTGTGTGTAGATTTGGAGCAATAAAAGAGAGGAACTATGTCAAGTGACTTTTACAACTCGCACAATCCTTAGACTAGGGTTTCTTAACCACAGCACCGTCGACATTTTGGGCCAGATGACTCCTTGTGGGGGGTTGCCCTGTGCATCATAGGGCATTTAGTACCCAAAGATCAGGTGAGCTTCCTTGGTTGGTTACACTTTGAACGTACTGTTACACTTTGTTGCTGATAGAATGAAGTGCTGGGTGTGCCGACTCCACTGGAGAGGTGTAAAATGCAGGAGGAGGGGGCACGGTGTGGCACAGGGAGCGACACGGAGAAGCACAGGGAGCAAGAGCCATTAATGTGAAAGGGAAGGAAGGGGGAGACCAGGTTGAGACTGGCTTGTTTGACTAATTTCAACTTGACTAATTTCTGTGCCTTGAGGCACAGAAGCTGTTCCTAGTTTTCTGGTACCTGGCCCTGGGGTGATTAGAGCAGGTGGAAGGTGGCCCAGGGTGTGAAGCCCCAGAAAGGAGATGGTTAGAGTATGGGCTCTGAGTTGGTTGGTTTGCATATGAAAGGTGCGCTCACAGGTGAGTCATTTACAATCTCTAGGGTTGGGTTAGTCCTGGGAGGGGCAGTCTCTCCCTGGCTAGAAAGGCCTCTCCTGTCAAAAGCATCAGAAGCATATGGTTAACACAGAGAGGACAACTAGAAGCTTGTACCTGCTTTCTCCAGGACTTCGCCCACGTATCTTCCCCTTTTGCTGACTTTAATTCTTTCACTGTAATAAATGGTAATTATAACAGCCTTTCTGAGTTCTGTGAGGCTATCTAGTGAATCACAGAGCCTGCACATAGTCTTAGAGACTCCGACCCAACTGCTAAAACCATGAGGTGAATGGGTGACCGGGAACTTCATAATGGGATAGATCAGGCTGATACCATCGCTTAGCAACAGAAAGTGGGACTACCAGGTGCTATGTTCTTCTTGACATAATGCAACAGAAGTATGCAGAATCACCTCAGAAGTATTCATGTCAAATGAACTGAATCTAAATATAAATCTAATCAGGCCTCTCCATATAACTGCAAATTGATAGGAAATATGGGGAACTAAGGAACTGTTATCAGCACGGGAGGAAATATACAGCTAAACCAGGATGGGGGAGATTTCACAGAACAAATGACATATTTGTTCAACGCATAAAAGGAGGGTGAACTGTTACAGATTTAATGATACAAAAGACAAATCATTCAAATGCATTGTGTAAACTTTGTTTGGATCCTAATTTAAACAAATTAATAGTCAAGACATTAAAAACATTTTTTTGATGTATAGAATGGAATAAAGTTTCCATTCTAGACATGATGTCTAGCTCATCTTAAGAGTGGTTTTTTCCCACTGCTCAAAGCATTCTTTTATAGAAGAACCTTCTACTAATCTTGTCGTGGCAAAACCCAAGCATTGCATTCTTGGAAACATCTCATGCACTACTCTCCCCACGCCCCCTCAAGCGAGAGAATTGAAGAGAACCCAGGCTGGTGAAACATCCTACCTAAATGTTGATTCTTCCTTAGCAATACCAGAAAGGAGTGTGTACAAGCTGTTTTAGGGTCATTGAAACCTTACACAGGCTCATCAGTTTCAAGGACTGTGTAGATCTGCCAGTCAGGCAGTGAGCACATACTTGCTGAGTACCTTCTACGTGTGCATGCTGTGCTAGAAGTAGTGATGCATAAATGACTATGGAGAATAAAATACAGAGCCCATAAATAAATCCTCACTTATATGGTCAATTAATCTATGACAAAGGAGGCAAGGATGTACAATGGGGTAAAGACAGTCTCTTCAATAACTGGTGTTTTCAAAACTGAACAGATACATTAAAAAAAAATTAAATTAGACCACGTGGTTATACCATATACAAAAAGAATTAAAAATGGATTAAAGACTTAAATGTTAGACCTGAAACCATAAAACCCCTAGAAGAAAACATAGTGGTAAACTTTTACATGTTGCAATATCTTTTTGGATATACTTTGCCAAACAAGGAAGCAAAAGGAAAAATAAGCAAATGAGACTACAACAAACTAAAATGTTTTTGCACAGTGAAGGAGACCACCAACAAAATAAAAAGACAACCAACTGAATTGTATCCACAAATGATACATTGGATAGGGGTTAATATCCAGAATATACAAGGAACTCATACAACATCAAAAAGAAAGGAACAATCTGACTAAAAAATGGTCAGAGGACCTGAATAGACATTTCCCCCAAGAAGACATACAGATGGTCCACAGATGTATGAAAAGATGCCTAATGTCACTAATCAATAGGGAAATGAAAATTGAAACTCACCGCAGTCAGAATGGCTATCACCAATAAATCAGCAAATAACAAGTGTTGGCAGGGATGTGAAGAAAAGGGAACACTTGTACACTGTTGGTGAGATTGTAAATTGGTGCAGCCACTATGAAAAATAGTATGGAGATTACTCAAAAAATTAAAAATAGAGCTGCTATTTGATCCAGCAACTCCACTTCATTATTTATCTGGGTAGTGAACAAAAACCCTAATTTGAAAAAATATATCCACCCCTCTGTTCATTGTAGCACTACTAGTAATAACTAAGATATGCAGTCAACCTAGATGTCCATAAATAGGTGAATGGATGCAAAAGATACACACACACACACACACACACAGAGGAATATTTTTCAGCCATAAAAAAGAATGAAATCAGCCCTGGCTGGCATAGCTCAGTGGATTGAGTGTGGGCTGCGAACCAAAGCATCGCAGGTTTGATTCCCAGTCAGGGCACATGCCTGGGTTGCAGGCCACAGCCCCCAGCAACCACACATTGATGTTTCTCTTTCTCTCTCTGTCTTTCTCCCTCTCATCCCTCTTTAAAAATAAATAAAATCTTAAAAAAATGAAATCGCCCCATTTGTGACAACATGGATGGACCTAGAGGATATTATGCTAAGTAAAAAAATTCAGACAGAAAAAGACAAATACCATATGATCTTACTTAAATGTGGAATCTACAAAAACAAAATAAATAGAGACAAACAAACAAAACAGAAAGAGCCCCATAGATATAGAGAACAGGCTGATGTTTGCCAAAAGGGAGAAGGTGCAGGGATGGAAATAAAAAAATTAAAGGCTGTGATGGGCATCAAATTAATAATATATGTTAACTGACAAATGCTTTTTGATGAGCTACTACATACCTAGGGCTGTTTTAGGCATGCAGATAAGATATAAATAAGACAAAGTTCCCATCCTCAAGAAGTTTCTCATCAAAAGACATTTTTGAGACAACAGAAGAAAACTGAACACAAATTGCATATTAGATATTAAACATTTATTTTCAATTTTTTTGGGTGAAATATGATGGTTAGGGTTTACTTTAAAATGCTCCAAGAAAAAAAATTGAAGGGGGGGTGGGGAATAGATCAGAAAACAGCATAAAGCTGATGGTAGTCTGGGTGATGGGTACATGTAGGTCTACTATTTTTAGTGTCTATTTAAAAATTTCTATTACAAGTTTTTTAAATAAAGATTTTATATATTTTTGGAGAGGGGAAGGGGAAGAAAAAGAGAGGGAGAGAAACATCAATATGTGGTTGCCTCTAGTGTGCCCCCTACTGGGGACCTGGACCACAACCCAGACATGTGCCTTGACTGGGAATCAAACTGTCGACTCTTTGGTTTGCAGACTGGCAGTCAGTCCACTGAGCCACACCAGCCAGGGCTACAAGTTTTTTAAAAAAGTATTTAAAGATTAGAAGTGGTTGTCAGTAAAAACCCATGATCTAATTGAACAGACGAAGTTTTTAGAACCTGCCAATATTGCAGAGATGTGATGTTAAGGCACAGGTAAGATTCTAAACTTAGGTTTTAAAACAATAAAGTAAAATTAAAATGTAGAAATTTGATGTCTAATAACCACTCTCAGCTCTTGATAAAAAAAAAGGCAGAGCCCACGGTGAAGCTGTCTTTCATCTCTAGCTTTCAGGATTTTCCCAGCCTCTGCTCTGAAGTCTAAATTTAGGGGTTTATATTTAGATTTTTTGGTGCAAATTTGACAAACTTACCATGAAATTTAGGAATAAAAGTTACCCCCTTACATTCTCCTATTAATCTTTATCCTTTGAAATAGAATCTTACAATAGAGAGATGCATAATCTTCTGTGGCTAAAAGTTCCTGCCAGTCGAGGTATCCTAACTGCTATTATAACATGGGATTTAAGGTCCAGCAAAGGGTCTCTCTGAGTAAAGCAGCATGTCAGAGCCTGGCCTTCAAGTAGGGAGTTTCTACCTTTCTTTCCTGCTATGTCACAGGATTTCTTATGAAAAAAAAATCAAGGATAACTTGTTATGACAAACATATTACTTCTGTAATTTTATTTTATTTTTTCAATATTTTTAAAGATTTTATTTATTTATTTTTAGAGAGAGGGGAAGGGAGGGAGATAAAGAGGGAGAGAAACATTGATGTGTGAGAGATATCCATTGGTTGCCTCTCACACACATCCAACTAGGGACCTGGCCTGCAACCCAGGCATGTGCCCTGACTGGGAATCAAACCAGTGACCCTTTGGTTTGCAGGCCAGCACTTAATCCACCAAGCCACACCAGCCAGGGCACTTCTGTAATTAATAAAAAAATGTAACAACACACACACAAACTTGCATGTGAATGTTCACAGCAGTACTATGCACAATAACCAAGAAGTGAAACAAATGTCCAACAACTAATGACTGGATAAACAAAATGTGATATACACACATAACTGAATTTTATTTTTTATTTCATGGTACCAATTCATGTTACAACATCATGAATCACAAAACATTATCACAGGCACAAAAGATCATGTATTGTATGATTCCATTACATGAAATACTCAGAAGAGGCAAATCTAGAGACAGAAAGTGGACTACTGCTTGCCCTGGGGCTAAAGGGCTGAAGGGGAACGGGAAGTTACTGCTAGTGTCTGCACGGGGTTGAATAGTGTCCCCCCACATTTAGAACAAAAAAAAGTTTAAAAGTTGATTGTGGTGATGCTTGCACAACTTTTTGGATATACCAAAACCACGAACATGTATACTTTAAGTGGGTTAATTTTATGGTATGTGAATTATAACTCAACAAAACTTTTTATTAAAACATATTTAAAGCTATAAAGAAATGCTGAAGAACTGACAAGAGCCTTGACTAATCTCAACAGGGCGAGCTTCTATCGTCAGGCAATAATTTAAGGTGCGAAGGGGTGAAGAGTTTAATATTACATGTTAGTTAAACAGGCTTGATTGCTAAGTCTGTTGCTGATTTACTCTGTGGACTTTTGGCTTTTTAGACAGAACACTTTCCACTGAGAGTCACAGAAAACCATCTCAAACAGGCCCACTCAAAACAGCAGGAATGTATGTCCTATAATCGAAGTCCAGGGTGGGCACTGGCTTCAGGCATCTGTTTCATTCGTTGCTGCCTTCATTCTGAAGCTGGCTGTCTCTATGTGGCAGGCAAGGTTCCAAGAATATGTGGCCCTCCCAGCTCCTGATACAAGAGGAGAGAGAATCTTTCCTGATAGCTCTATCAACAGTTCCAGGACTGTCCAGGGCTCGATAGCTCACATTCCTGGAGGCAGGAATAAGGTTTGCTTCAACCAAGTCTCATGGCTGCATGGTTTCCCACTGAGCAGGATGGGATGGCTCTCCGAAAGAAGAGAGACTGGGTATGCAAAATATATGCCCACGATGCCAGGCAGACTTGCAGAGATTTAAACATCATTCCAGCCCAACATATACTTGCTGAATTAATGTAGGAACACACAAAACAGAGCATCACTTTTAAAGTACCATATTTCAAATTCTTATTCCATAATCTTGAGGAGTAATAAAACACAGGTTAGGGCAGATGCCAAGGTCATTAGTGAGATGCCATTTTAGTAGAGAGCTACTTCAATCAAGTGTGGATTGTTCCATGTTCCGAAATTCCATCTCTCTTACACAGAAGAGATATGTTGCTCTGGTAGATGGCAGACTTTTTGTCCTGATTCAGCCACAAGAATAGCTAACGCTTGTCCAGCACAAAGGAAGAAGGTGGTCTAGCAGAACGGGCTGGAAAACACCATGCTACCAGTAAGCTCTTTGCAAACTGTCCCGTCTCATTTAAACTGGTGATAATCTGGTGGGTTTCTGATCCAGGATCCAAATGCATGCTTTCGGAGCATGCTCCAGGCTTCCTGGTAGGCAGCTGCAGCCTCCTTGTACTCTTGATACGTCTCTAGCTTCTGCACCCTAATGCACACAACACCACCAAGCAGTTTCTCATTGAACAGCTCACCACCACGGCCAACAAGAAACATGAGCAATCATCTGGACAGATTCATTACAAGAGACTTAGGAACAGGAGAATTTTGGTATGCTTGCTTTCCTAGAGAGACTCTATCTCCTTTGTAGCGAATTCACTACAAAATAACATGGATTAAAACAGGCAAGAATAAAAAGAATGCTAGTTTTGTCTGGTCCCAGTGAAATCAGACAAAAACAAAAATAACTATCATTTTTTTTGGTTGAAAGTTTTCTAAGTGTGTATAATTTCCAGCAGAGGATACAGCCATTAGAAACTCCTTGGCTGCATTTTCCCTCCCAAAGCAAAGCACTTTCCATTTCATCCATACTCGCCTCCTACATACCGACAGCCAACACCCCTCCCAATCCCTTAGTTCTGACTGCTAAAAAATGGTTGATATGTTAAACAATATTTGCAATACTTGTATCTATTTTAAAAGATTTTCATTGTAACAAAGACTCTTTTGACCAAACTTGAGTCAAGCTCCTCCCAGCTCTCTTGTCCACTTGGACCTTGAGTTCTGTCCTTGTATCTTATAGTCGAAGAAACTGACACTCATGTCTTATTGATCCAATTTTATCCTGCTTCTTAGCTCACTTCAGCAAAGTTGCTGTTTGCAGCAAAAATTGATTTCAGTTGTTTGACCAATTTCCTACAGCTTTTTGTTGGCTAATGGGTGGGTCCTATACATATGACAATGTTAAACTTTACTTGAGCCCCAAGTTCTTAAAAAACAGCTATGGGTAAGGAATTGCCCTGCCACCCTTCTGTGTTCTGGGACATGGCTGACTGCAAAGAACTGCCCTTCCCCGTGACTTAAATAAGACTCTCGGATGCCCCTACCGTTCACCTATCACAAGGCCAGACCCAGATCCTCCAAATTCCCATTCTTTGTCCCATAACGATTAGCTGAATCCACTGACCAATCTTGACAAAATACTTGCTAACTTGACCAAATATCAGGTGCACTTCTCTCCTTATCCCAGGCCCCAGAACTCTGATCCAGCCTCAGAATGTGTAACAACCCCTGAACAGCCCCCCTCCTGAGGACCAACTGACAGCAAAAAAAGACATTTCCCTTTTGGTTCAATTATCCTATCACACCACCTGCTCATCCCACTCCCCCATTCCAGGTGCTGTTCAGCCTTGTTTATCTCTCTGTATAAAAGAAGACCCCTTTCTATGTGTCCTTTGGGAAGCTTGCAAAGCTTATGATTGGAGTGTTCTTGCTATCGCATTAGTCCTCTCCTATCGTAATAGACTCCTTCTCTTGCTACGATAGTCCTTTTGAGTGAAGTTCTCTCCTTAACTAAGTCCAGATTATTTTTAATATACAGAATGTACAGAAACCCACCCAGTTCCAGTTTGATTCAGTTTTCTGGACACAACACAAGCAAACCAACCACGAATGACTGGAGGGCATAGATACTAACCACAGTATGTATGATGGTGATAACAGCGGCTAGCCTCTTCATATAATAGTTTCTGGATGCTCCTCTGCTTCCCTACTGTGTATAATAAAGATTTTGGCAGGTCTTTGTCGCCAGTTCCTGGGAGGGAACCTCCACACCCTTAGAATTTCCCAGGGGATAGGACTGTCTTTGTTATTCATGGTGGACCCCTCAGATCACACCTAAGTTCATGTTTAACCAGGTGACTCATGGTGAGCCCTGGCGAGTTGCAGGATGGGGCTGGCCATGCCAGGAAGCCCAACCGTGAGACTGGAAGACTTGGAGCACTGAGCCACCTGATAGCACTATTACTTCGTAGGGTGGGAGGGGGAGATAAGATTGAGTTCAATCACATCGTGTGAACTGCAATTCAATCAATCATTCTTATTAATAACCCCCCCCCCAAAAAAAAAACCTCTGAAGTGCAAGCCAACTTTCTGGTTGGTGCTGAAAGGGTGATGCATCCTGAGGACATGGAAACTCTGAGTTTGGGACCCTCCCAGACCTCCCACTATCTGTTCCTTCTTTTAGCTGGTCCCAACTTGTACTCTTCACCGTCAAAGGTAATTGTAACTATAGCTGCTTCCCTGAATTCTATCAGTTTTTCTAGTGAATTGCTGAACCTAAATAGGTAGTGGGAATCCTGAGTTTGTGGTCAATTGGTCAGGAGTGTGGGTGGCTGGGAGCCCCCAAGCTTGTGGCTAGCATCGGAAGTGAGGGCAGTTTCTAAGGACTGTGCTCTCTGTTCTCTAAAATTTGGCCCAACTCTGGGTAGTTAAGTGTCTGAATTGCACCCACCCACCTGAATTCTCTACGTTCCTGTTTGGAGAGTGATTTCAATCATGGAGTTGCAGTTCACAACCAGTGATGTGAACAAAAGAAGAAGAGACTTGAGCCCTGGCTGGAGTGGCTCAGTGGATTAAGCATCAGCCTGTGAACTGAAAGGTCACTGGTTTGACTCCTGGTCAGGGCACATGCCTGGGTTATGGGCCAGGTCCCCATCTGGGGGAGTGTGAGAGGCAACCAATGGTTGTTTCTCTCCCTCTCTTCTTCCCTCCCTTCCCTGCTCTCTAAAAATAAATAATAAATGAAATCTCAAAAAAAAAAAGAAAAAGAAAAAGAGACTTGATGTTCCTAATTATATTGCTCTCCAAGCACTCTTATTTTCACAATGCTTTCCATCTGAAGGTGAAATGAAAGGAGGGCCTGGAATGGTCCCAGACCCAACTCCACCCTTAGTCTCTTGTGACTTTGTTCTACCAAACTGCCCGTCCTCCATACCTTACACGTATCTGCAAGCAGAGCCATGGAGATAGAAGAGCATGTGGTCAGTGGTAAGTGCCCACTGGCCTACTGAAACACCACTTCTGCTGAAGCTTCCTGCTACTCATAAGCCAGAAATAAACCAGAAGTCTTCCTAAATATGAAAAACATGGGTCAACAGCATCACCTGAGGGAGTCTGGCCACTTGTCCTCTGAAATACTGCTTAGCAGCTTCTGGAATGATCTAAAGAGTTCCACTTTGCTGATTCGAGATCTGTTTAGAAAAAGATGAAGAGGATTTATTAACTGTTTGCTATGTACCAGATCCCTACCAAAGTTACCAAGCTTCAAATGGTATTGGATGTGCCTGAGCCCCCATTTTCACCTGTACTGGGTAAGGAGAAAATCTAGACCTAAGGGTCTGACTAGGTAGAGGCAAAGAAAGGAATCTCATCTTAAAAAATGACATCAGGTCCTGGCTGGTGTGGCTCAGTGGATCAAGTGCTGGCCTGCAAACCAAAGAGTCACTGGTTCGATTCCCAGTCAGGGCACATGCCTGGGTTGCGGGACAGGTCTCCAGTAGGGGGCGCTAGAGAGGCAACCACACATTAATGTTTCTATCTCACCCTTCCTCTCTCAAATAAATAAATAAATAAATAAATAAATAGAATCTTTTTTTAAAGATGTCATCAGCATGAAATCAATCATCAAGGTGACAAGTTCAAAGGGGATAAAGGCAGAGGTGAAATTACTAACTTCCTCCCAGGGTGCCTATTAGCTATGTTGGCTACCTCCTTTCAAGGGAGCTGGCCCCTTGGGTAATACTACTTACAAGAAATTGAAAGCTTTGTTTCAGAAACTTGAATGCTTCTACCTGTTTGAAGTCTACTTCCATGAGCCACCTGAGGCAGAATCTCCAGATTCTCCCTTTGGGCATCAAGGGCTTTTGAAGGCCAACCTATTGCTTCAAACATCAAGCTTCACAGAAGTCGCAGTTTGGAACAAGGAAGGAAATGAGTGTGAATTCCTTCCCAGTCTACCTGCACCTTCTTGGTTTGGCCCATCCAGTTTGGCTGTGGCCTGGACTGTATAGGCCTCCTTTCTTCCTTCATATACACAATTCATGAGCTGATTTAGAAGTTGGGAACCATTGTAAGTGCCCACAATGTGTAGTCTCATGTTTACACATCATACCCTTCACTGTCTTCACAAACTGTACCATCAGCTTGGATACAGTGGCCATACTGGTGCCGATGATGTAAGGGATTGCAGAGTCTGTCAAGAAACCACCTTTCCTGGCGGGGGGCCTAGCCCACGGAAGGAATCACTGCTAAAGCAGAACCCTAAGCCCTCACAGGCTGCTCTTCCTGGGCCCACACTGTGGTAAGTGGCTGTTTGCCTCAGGAACATAAAGCTGCTTTAACATTTAAAAACCTCCAAAGCCAAGAAAACTAATGGAACTCATGAACAGATTAAAGGAAAAAACATAACTATGGAAAATGTATAGAGAAAAATCATGCTAGAATTCAGTATCAAATAATTTAAAACCTTTTACAAATGAGGACTAAGTAAGGTATTTAAATTCATAGAGGGTATCTATAAAAACCTACAGCAAATACATGTCCTTAAAATCAGGAATAAGACAAGGGTCTTGCTTTTACTGCTTTTATCCAACATTATACAGAAGGTTCTGGCCAGTAAGACAAGAAATAAAAGGAATAAGGATTGAAAAGCAAAACCCAAAGCTATTATTTACAGATGAGGGTAGTACTGTCAGTTCTAGCCAGCAGAGTAAGTCAAGAAACGAATGGAATGGAGGATTAAAAGGAAATGCTATTTGCAAAATATTACTATATTAAAAACTTCTGAAAGTATTCCCATATAAATCAGCAGAATAATAAGCATTAGTGAAGTTGCTGGATACAAACACTGGCTGCAACATAGAGAAACAAAAAACTGGTTGCAACAGCAATGCTCAGAAAATGAAATAAAAACTACTTAAACTAGCATTGATAGTAGCCAACCTGTGAGACATTGATTCTTGTCTTCTGCAATTCATGCCTCTGTGCAATCCTCCTGTGGCCCCACACTGAGTAGGGCTGACCTGTATAACCATTGGGAGGTTGCAGGTGCAGTGTGACTTCTGAGGCTAGGTCATAAAAGATACTGTGGCTACTGCCTTGCTCTCTCAGATCACATGTTCTGGGAAAGCCAGACCCTGTGTTGTGAAGATGAACACTGGTAGCCTTATGGAGAGATACAAGTTGTGAGGAACTGAGGCCTCCTGCAGACAGCCAGCACTGACCTGTCAGCAACGTGAGTGAGACATTTGGGAATTGGATCCTTCAGACGCACTCAAGCCTTCAGGTGACTGCGGTCCTGGCTGACATAAGGGCCTGTAACCTCATGAGTCCCTGAGCCAGAATTATCACTAAGCTCCTCCCAAATTCCTGATGCTCAGAAACTATGAAATAAATGTTAACTGTTGTTTTAAGCCCCTAAGTTTTGGGGGATAACTTGTTATAAGGCAAGAGATAAGTAGTATAACATTTAAGGAATAACTCTAATAAAAGATGTGAAAGATTTATATGAAGAAAATTAAACTTTACTGAAAAAATATGTACACACATATACCTAGGAAAGCTATACATATATATGTAATTTTAAAAAACCATTTATTTATTTATTTATTTTTAGAGAGAAGGAAGGTAGGGAGAAAGAGAGAGAGGAACAACCATTGGTTGCTTCTTGTCTGCACCCTGATCGAGGACCAACCCAGAACCCAGGCATGTGCCCTGACCAGGAATTGAACTGGTGACCTTTTGCTGTGTGGAATGACGCCCAGCCAACTGAACCACATAGGTCAGGGCCATAATTTTTTTAAACATTACACATTCACATTGATATTTTCAGTCTAGCACTATCTTTACTCTAACATACTTAGATATACTTAAATTTATTTTTTAATTCCTTCATCTTTTCTTTTCTAATCCAATGGGCCATATAGTGATTCTCTAGGTTGTTTGGTATCTGGACAGGGAGGGGAAGACAATTTTCTACTTTAGGGCAAAGGAATTTGCCTGTAACAGGCAGAATAAAATTAAGCTTCTTAAAAATAAGAGTCCTGTTATCTCATTATTGGTAACACACACACACACACAGAGGATTTATATAAAATAGCTCCTGTAGTGTTGCACTAGTATATTAAATGTCTGTAACGCCCCACTCTGAGTTCATATTCCCTGAAGTTCTAAAGAGGTGGTCTCTGGATGCTCGCACTCAGGAATGAGCAATGAGAAAACCTGCTTTCTCTCCAGCAGTTGCTGGTCTTTAGAATAAAAGTAATGGACTCATTAATAATATGAAGCTTTCTTTGACAAATGAAGAGAAAATCAATCTTAACAAGATATCTCCTGCAAGCCCTGCACCATGTTAGAGGCTCTCCCGTTCAATTCTTACAACATTCCTGTGCAACAGGAACTCTCAGTTACCCTTGCTTTATTGCTGGGAAAACAGAGGCGCAGAGAGGTATTTTTTCCCGGGTTCATACCTCCAGGGAGAAAGGGAACCAGAAACCACGAAGCGTCTACTCTTTCCACCATATCCTTCCTCCCTGTATGAGGTCTGCCTTCTAGATGGAAAGGCATCCACCATGTGTGAGATCTCAGATCATCTATTCCAACATCCTTGTTTTACAGATAGGAACACAATGAAGCCCAGAGAGCAACTGGGCTTGTTCGAAGCCACCTGGACAGCTGGAGACAGAGCAAGGGCGAGAGAGCAGGAGGCACTCCCAATCACACGGAGAGCAATGACGTATTGGGAGAAGCTGGAGAACACTGCTATGGGAATTTAAAGAAAAGATGGTAATTTTGAGCCAGAAGGCAGCAGTGGCTGAGCTGAGTTTTTAAAATGAAAGAAGGTGTGGATTCATAGTGAAGAAGAGCATTTTAGACTTAAGCAAAGCAGCAAACCGAAACCACAGTCAGGTGGGTAGGGCCCATATGTATGAGTTGCTCTAGCCTGTCAACACAGCTCAGCAGGAAACATGTGGTTCCTGTGCCTGTCCCTCGTGACCTGCTCTGCTCACACAGCCTTGGGCCCCTGAGAGGTGCTAATGGTGTTGTGAAGCCAGGAAGGCACATGCAGAAAAACATCCAAAAGTCTCTACCCACAACAGGTTTGTAAATACTGCTCAAGTCAATATGCTGGGCGACCAGGAGACAAGCCAAGTCTGCCATTTAGGTTGTTTTAAAGCTGGTTAATGGCTACAAAGAGCAATTTTTTTTTAAGTCTAATAAGATGTAAGTTGTTGTTTGTGTTGAGTCAGGCAAATAACCATGTCAAAAAAAATCCACCTGTAAAATTTAATTATAACTCTATAAAGGCATAATACAAAAAAATGGAAAATCAACTTAGAGTGAAAAAGACGACCTGTAAATTGTGGGGGTCCTAAAGAGTCACTCAGCGCAGCTCAGCCCAGCCTGAGACAAAAATGCCTTTGGTGGAGAGGCCACCCCGCCACAACCCGTCCCACCCTCAGGCTACTGCAGAACAGCTGTGGCTCAGCGGGAGGGAAAAACAGGGTAGATGAGACCAGCATGGCAGATGCATGAACCTCCAGACACTCAACAATGAAAACTGTGTCATGTCCAGCAGCTCCTAAGCTCTACACTTCAGCAAAAGCCAATCTGAAGACACAGTTTTCCATGGCGCCCTTTTTGCCAGTGCAGTCACCATGGAGCTTTATGAGTGATTCTTGGGCTCCAACCTTGACCTTCTAAACCAGAATCCCTAATGGAAAAGCCCAAGCAAGTGATTCCTTTCAAAATCTCCCAGGGGAAAGAATAGTGTTTCCAAAAAATAGTGTGGGGACAACTGGATGCTAAAGAATGAAGTTGGACCCCATCTCACACCTTATAGAAAAAGTAACTCAAGATGGATCAGTCAAAACATAAGAGCTAAAACTATAAAACTATTAGAAGAAAACATAGAGTAAATCTTTGGGACCTAGGATTAGGCAATGGTTTCTTAGGACACCAAAAGCACAAATTGCGAGAAAAAAAAAGATAAAATAGACATCAACATTTAAAACTTTTAAAACACTCTCAAAAAGTGAAAAGACAACACACAGAATTGGAGAAAATATTTTTAAATGTATAGCTAATAAAGGACTAGTGTCTAGAATGCAGAAAAAAATCTTACAACTCAACCATAAAAGATAAATAAAACAATTTTTAAAATGGGCTAAGGTGCTGGCTGGGTAGCTCAGTTGGTTAGAGCATCATCCCAATATGCCAAGGTTGATGGTTCGGCCTCTAGTCAGGGAACAAACAGGCAGCAACCAATGAATGCATAAATAACTGGAACAGCAAATTGATGTTCTTCTCTCTCAAATCAATAAATAAAATGTTTTAAAAATGGGCTAAGATCTGAATAGATATTTCTCTAAAGAAGATATACAAATGGCTAACGAGTATGTGAAAAGACACTCCACATCATTAGTTACAAGGAATGTGCAAATCCAAACCACAGTGAGATAGCACTTCACACCCACTAGAATGGCTTCAATAAAAACACAAAACAGACAGTAACAAGTATTGTAAATGATGCAGGATAATTGAAACTGCCATGCATTGCTGGGGGAAGTTTTAAAATGGTGTTGTTGTTATGGAAAACAGTTTAGCATTTCCTCAAAAAGTAAAACCCTAGGTTACCACATGACCTAGGAGTCCCGCTCCCAGGCATACACAAGAGAACTTGGGTCCGGGTGCTCTCCCTCCTGAGAGCACTCCCACGCACTTCCCTTCCCCTTCTTCTTCCCCCACAGGCGTGCATCTCCTAAACGCTAAGGGATCAGACTTGCAACCAAGGAAACAATGGGCAGCAGCAGCTCATCCCAGGCTAACCCCCTGAACCTGTCTCCAAGGCCCCTTTTCTCTGACTCTCCAGTGAGCTGACAGCAGCCCCGCCTCGGCTCCCATCTTTCCCGCAACATTTCTAGGGAGCCGAGGCGGCCCCACCTTGGCCCACTCCTGTTGCTTCTTCTCTCCTAGGCCCTTCCTTGTTACACTGTCCCCAACTTTAATAAATGTATCCTTAAAATAAAAAGAAAATGTCCACCTCAAATCTTGTATACAAATGTTCATAGCAGCAGTATTCACAACAGCCAAAAAGTAAATAACCCAAACATCCATCAGTGGATGAACAGATAAACAAAAGGTGATATATCCGTACCATAGAATATTACTGAGCCATAAAATGGAATGAAAGACTGATAAATGCTACAACATGGATGAACCTTGAGAACATGCTAAGTAATGAAGTTAGACATAACAGGCCACATAATGTATGTTCCGTTTATATGATATGTCCAGAACAGATAAATCCATGGGGATAGAATATAAATTAGGGTTGCTGGGGATGGGGAGAGGGAAAGGTGGGGAGTGACTGCTAATGGGTATAAGGTTTTCTTCTGGGGTGATGAAAACGTTCTGGAAGTAGTGGTGAGGCGTGAGCACATGGCCACCCCCCCTCGTCCCCTCCCCCCATCTGCCCCGCTGCGCTGTACCTGGCCTGAAGGCTTCTGATCCCCTTCTTTGTTGTACCCTGTGGAAAGCCATTGGCGGTGACGTCCAACGGCTGCTCAGGAACTGCACTCCAGCTGATGGCTATGAAAAGATAAGGTTCTAGAGTTAACACTCTTCGGTTTTCTGTGAGTTCCAGCGCTGTTTTAATAAAAACTTCTCCCTGTCTTTGCAGACCCATGAGTGCTGGATAGAATGTCAGGCACAATGACTGTCACTCTGGCAAAGAGTACACGTGGTTTGTTCATGATTAATCACCATCATCATCATCATCATAACAACAACTAACAATCACTGAGCATTTATGAAACAATTTCTCATTTAATTCTCATAACAATCCTGACAAATAAATGATATTTTTATCTGGAGATGAATAAATTGAGGCTGAGAGAGACTAAGCAGGTTGCCCAGGGTCACAGAGAACATGAACTTGACAGAGTATGGGTGTCTCCAAAGCCCACTCTATTGACCGTTTGGGTGGTAAACAGCCTCCCCAGGCTGGGAGGATGTGGCCCACCCCAAGGCACTCCCTGGTCTGGGGACAAGGCACTCCAGGGCAGGTGGAACCTGGATCCCTTACCTGCTCCGCAAGGAACGAGTCGGCCTGGACCGTCAGCCCTTTTGGTCTGCACCACGCAGCGGCTCTGCTCGAACAGTAAATCCGACTGCTGTATTTTCACTTCTTGAACTCTGAAGCCTTTGGGTAAAGCTGAGATATTCTGACACCTAAATGGGAGGGGGAAATCATTCAGTTTAGGCACATTCCTCGAGAAAGAGAGTATCTAGGACTGTGGACCCCACTGCTGCTGCTGTGTCTCGGTGGGAGGCAAAGGCCTTAGGGGGTGTGTGGATCGGTGTGTTTATGGGGAGGGAAGTCCAGGAGGATGTGGGAGAATGGAATCTAAATCACACGAAACTTAGGGCTGAAGGAAGACTCCCCTCCCATTACTCTGAAGTGGTAACTATTTGAGTCACCACCCCTCAGTGATTTCGGTAACACTAAGCTCTATTCCTGATATCAGTTTTGAAAGATTTGAAAACTGTAAGAAGAAACATTAATTTGTTGGCATCTGCTTCCTAGCAAATCCTTCACCAGAAACCAAAGTTATCCTGTAATATAAAACTTCATTTGTTTCTCTTATATCTTTCACATAAACTCAGTGCCAACAAGATGTTGGTTTAGACCTGCGCAGACAGCAATTTAAAAGTCTCAGGGTAAGGAAAACATGGAAAACACAGAAAACATCTTGGACAGAGTGGTTAGGGTCACTTTTATTTTTTTTAGGCATGTTTATTGGGATATAGTTTATATACCAAAAAATGTGCCCCTCTGCAGTATATAATTCAAAGGGTTTTTTAGTATATTCACAGAATTGTGCAAGTATCACCACATTCTAAGTTTATAACATTTTCATCAGGCCAATAAGAAACCCTGCACCATTTAGCAGTCACTCCTCATCCCTTTCTCCAGCCCCTGGCACCAAGAATCTACTTTCTGTCTCTGTAGATTGCCCATTTTGGGTATTTCATTATGTGAAATCATACATTACGTGGCTTCTTTCACTTGCCATAAGGTTTTCAAGGTTTATCCATGTTGCAACATGTATCAGTCCTTCATTTCTTGTGGCTGAGTAATATTCCACTGTATGGACATACCGTATCTATCCATTCGTTAGCTGGTGGACCTTTGGGTTGTTTCACTTTGGGGCAATTATGACGAATGCTGCTGTGAGCATTCACGTACAAGTTTTTACGTGGATATGTGTTTTCATTTCTCTGGGGTATGTATCCAGAGGTGGAATTAGGGGGCCACATCCTGGGGCTGCTTCCTGGAGTTGGCTTCAGGAGCGGTCACTTGACACAGGCTCGCAGGCTGCCCCTGGCCAGGGCTTCACCCTGCCCGCAGCTATCACAGCATTCACTGGGTCTGGCTGCCTTCTTCAGGAAGGCTGTACTTGACTGGTCATCCTTTGTCACTTATCTTTTCAAATATTAACACTAATGTTTGAAGGTTTTTAAAAAATTAACAGTAATATTTACATACTGTAGAAAAATTAGAAAACAGTAATCACAAAGAAGAAAAAACTACCCATAATACCATATCTCAGAGGTAGTAACATTAATACCTTTGTGTATATCCTCCTGCAATTTTTCTATATGCATATATACTTCAAGACCAACATGAACTCATTTTATCTTCTCAATTGCCCTTTAGACTCATAGATAGAGAGAAGGATGGCAGCTATGGTAGGGAGTTAGGGGGTGGAGGGATAGAGCAAAAAGGAAAAAGGACTCATGGGCACGGACAACAGTGTGGTGACTGCAAGGGAGAGCGGGTGTAAGGGGGATAAATGGTAATGGAAAAAATAAAGAAAAATAAAATAAATTGCTCTTTAGACATAACAAGCATCTTACCGTATTACATTTCTTCTATAGGAGTCTTAACAAAAATCACTTGATCTATTGCTGGCCATTGTAGTGGTTTTGTTTCTTAAAAATGACTACACACAAAGCTAAATGTTTGAATCTTTCCTTAATTACTTCTTTAGGGCAAATTCCTAGCAGTGGAACTGCTGGAGCAAAATGCATGGATATTTCTAGGCTCTTCGGACACACTCTCAGCCTGCTTCTCGGAAAGGCTGTTCCAGTGGATGGAGCCCTCCCTCCCGGCCCTCTCACCTCCCAATTAGCGCTCTCCGCATGGCTTCCTGGCTGTACGGGCACTTCCCGATGACCACGGCTGACAGGTAGATGGGCTCTTCCAGGAAGTGCATCAGCAGTGACCCCTGGCATCCGAGGACGTTCCACCGTGCCAGCTTGTCACTGCAGGACATGGAGCAAGTCCTGTCTCCCCGGCCTGGCTTCACTCGCAGCAGCCCCACCCGGTGGTACGCGGCACCAGGCTTCCCTGAGTCTCCAGCTTCCCCAGGCACACACTTAGCTCCGGTTCTATAAACATCCACCACTTTGGCACCACTGGGGGCCAGTCCAGTGGCCAGTTCCTCTGAGGGGAGATCAGAGCTGCCGACTTTTGGTGGGACTGGGCCACTTTCCTGATTGCCAAAACACTGATGGTCAGCCTCACCGTTGGCAACTTTTCTGGCAGGAGTCCTGGGCTCAAGCCTCATTTTTTTGGCCATAGGACTGTCCGGGTCTTCACGTTTCCTTTTATCTTCAGTAGCTTCCAGGTTATCACTGGCTTCTACTGATGGGTTATGGGCCCAATCTCTACTGACAGGACAGCAAGGCTGGTCTTCAAACTCGAGCATTGGAATGATGGAGGCATCCCCGCCTACAGGAGAAGAAACCTCTCAAACCAGTGGTTCTCAGCAGTGAGACCACCCACAGCAGCATCCCTTAGGAACCTGTTAGAGATGCAAGTTTTGGGAACCCACACAAGACCGGCTGCCTCTGAAACTCTGGAGGTGGTGTCCAGCAGTCTGTGTATTAATCAACTCTCCAGGCTCTGATGCAAGCTCAAGTTTGAGAACCACTGCTTTAGACAAAGCTTAATATGTCTACGGCCATACCACCCTGAACACGCTCGGTCTCGTCTAAACAAAGCTTAATATTATTCTCTCAGCTGACATGAGATGAATTAAGAACACTTGCCCAAATTTCCTTAATATGAATCATCTCGTGGACGACTCCTGGCCCTCTCCTAGACTCAGTGAGTTAGAATTTCTGGAGGGGAGGGGTCTCGAAAATGGAACATCTTAATAAAGATCCCATGGAATTCCTAACAAAGGAAGTTTTGGAAATACTAGTTTAGACCAGAGTTTCTTAACCTCCATGTTATTGACATTTTGGGCCAGATAATTCCTTGCTGTGGGGTCTGTCCTATAAATCACAGGATGTTTAGCAACCTCCCTGGTCTCTACTTACTAGATTATTAGCAGTCTCTAGTCTGACCATCAAAAATGTCTCCAGATGTTGCCAAATGTCCCCTGGGGAATAAACAGTCCTAAATTGAGAATTACTGGTTTAAAATGAGCAGTTCCCACGTGCATTTTGTGGAATGTTATCCCACAAGATGTACTGGAAAACAAAAGTGGGTGGCTGATTTCATGGTTAAATATTGGGTTGGCCAAAATTTCTGTAAGATGGCTCTGGTAGCACTTAGTTGTCTTTAACTTCATTCCAAACAATTTTGCTGGATTGTATTTTGACAGCAGTCATAGCAGAGTGCATTTTTCATTAGCAATAATTGTACCTTGGATAAACCTCATTAGCTACAATACCGTCACTGCACAAAGCTTCAGGGTGCATTTAAAAAAATATCAAAATTGGTAAATTTTTGTATAGCCATTTTAATACTGAAGATGGAAGAAAATAAACAACACTTTCAGCATATTATGCTTTATTATTTCAAGAAACATAAAAATGCAACTGAAACACAAAATAAGATTTGTGCCGTGTACGGAGAAGGTTCTGTGACTGAATGTGTCAAAAGCGGTTTGTGAAGTTTTGAGCTGGTGATTTCTCAGTGGACGATGATGCTCCACCATCAGGTAGAGCAGCTGAAGTTGATAGCGACCAAAATGAGACATTAATTGAGAACAATCGATGTACATTCTCAAAATATCCAAATCAATAAAGTTACTGGTGAAAATGAAAAATGTGTCTTTTGTTTTACAGAAGAACACCATACAGACTTTTTGGCCAACCCAATAAATTTGGCAAACAAAGCTTACAACTTCCCCATCTTAGAGATGTATGTGCATATCCTTAAACTCTGCAGTAACTCACACGGCTGGTGTTTCCCTGTGCTGGTTTGGGGATTTCTGACCTATTCTGTGCTTACAAGGAATCAAACAAACAAACAAAAAAACCCAGAGGTTAGTGAAAAACACAGCTTCCAGTTGAGAAGAGAGCTACTGCTTCAGACACTAACCTAATGTGTGCTGCTTTTCTAGAATGTGTGAATAATACATCCGCAGCCTTATACCCCAAGAGTGGGAAAGGCAAGAGATGGAGAAGTGGGAGTGTTGCCAGAGAGGCCGGCTGGCAGGCTTCCAGAGACCTCACAAGGTGACAGTGACTTTGAGAATTCACCAGGGCTCACCTCGCACTCTGCAGGCTCAGAGATTTGATCTTGACAGATGCCTGAACTTGAGAGGCTGACTCAAGCTAATAAAACTCATAAGTAAGAGTCTGAAGTAGCTAACCCATGCACCAAATTATCAATTAGTAATGAGGAATAAATGTCAAGAGAGCCAGAAAGTCACACTCTCTATGTGGTACGTTTTTTCTTTCTGCAGACAAACCATGGGTGGACAGCACATTAAAAAAAATTTTTTTTAAATGAGCCAGGGAAGTTAGATCAGTGGTTCTAGATTTTGATTTCATGGACTAGTAAAATTTCCAGAAGATTTTCCAGAAGGTGGTCAACTTTTTATTCCATAAAGTAAGATCTTTAAAAATCCCAGCTAATTATTAAAAATGACTAAACTCTCATAAACCTTAAATGGAAAGAAATTGGCATTTAAAACAATTTATTACATAGTACTTGTTTTTCTTGTATATCAGTACCTTCTCACGGAGCAGTACCAGCCTGTGGCTACGTCGGTTGATTAGGCAGCAGTCAGGCTAGTTTGACCCCCAGATGGTCTCTGTCTCCACAACAAGACTACTGAGTCAGCCAGGCCCTGGCTACTCAGAGTGTGGTCCACAGGCCAATACCACTGGCACGGACCATGAGTTGGTTAGAAATGCAGAACCCCAGGCTCCACCCCAGAATCTGAATCTGCATTTTAGCAAGATCCCTGGGTGATTCATACAGCATACTACAGTTTGAGAAGCACAGGTTAGGAAGCATCCTTTGGCCCCTGGAGCAGAGCACTCACTACTGAGGACACTGTGGATGATCCCTGCCTACTTCTGTAACTCTTTTGTTTCTTAAGCTGTATTATATTTTTGATTTATGATCAAGTCTTGACAGCTATTCTGTCTCTTAGAGTGATTACCTATCTCTGCCCTGATGTTTAAAGTTTAACTTAGTTTTAGTCTTAAAGTTTAATAGTCAGAGGATAATCTTATATCCTTATTTCAAAGTTTTTTGGGTGAGAAAATTTTACTGCCATCCCTGAGTTGTTGTCTACAAAGGGCAGAAATTATTCTTAATTTTCAAGACAGGAAAACAGAGCATCGAAATGACTGTCTGCAGGCTAGGTCTGGTCTTCCTGCCCAATGCAACCACAGCACCTGAACACCCCCTTAAAATTCATGAAAATTTACCTTAACCAAAGATGACTGTCAACATTCCCTAAAAGACTCTATGAGAGGAAGCAAGGGACTAGTTTTATTCCCTGCTATATACCCAGTATGTCATACTGTCCCTGACAAGTAGTAGAAAATACGTGTTTAATGAATGAATTAATGAATGAAATGAGTTTGGACTTCTAAACCTCACTGCTGGTTTCAGGCCTGGTGGGGTTTCAGTTTCAGGTTTCCCAGTCCTGACTGAGAACTGAAAAGTGAGTCCCTGCCACAACATCCCCAACCCTGCCTTTTCTTGGCAGAGAAATGATCAGGCATACTGGCCTATTCACAAAGAGGCACTGTGGCCGGTTGTAGCTACACTTCAGCCAGAAGTGCTTTTTTGAGAAACATATCTATGGATAAGGCGAACATAAGGAAGAAGACAATACAACATTAATCCATAGGCTTGAATGTACTTACAGGGTGTATGGCTGGAGAAAAAGACAAACGACAGGTCTGGTTTGAGTTTCCACTGTCCTCTCTGAGTTCCTGGTACAAAGATGCTATCCTCCTTTAGGGTGGCCGCCAAGTAAAGTTGATGGAGAAGGTACCTAGTGGGTGCAGGATGTTATCAGAATGAACACCAGTCTCTGTGGTAAAGGGGAAGATTCTGGCTGGGTGTTTACTAAGAAAGAAAGATCTACTAAAGACCCATGGGATGGACAGTGACTTAGAATTATGAGAATGATCTAGACCAGTGATTCTCAAAGTGTGGTCCTTGAACTAACAGTGTAAGCATCATCTGGAATTTGATAGAAATGCAACTTCTCAGGCTCCTCCCTTGACCTGCTGAATCAGAATCTCTGGTTCAATCTGGATTTTAGCAAATCCTTTAGGTGATTCTGATGTACACTGAAGCATGAGAACCACTGTATAGAGCAGTGCTATTCAAAGTTTAGTTTACAGCCTAACAAAATCAGTTTGACTCAGGAGCTTACTAGAAATGCAAATTCTGGGACCCCCAAACCTGGCTAAATCAGACTCTCTGGGGATGTGACTTTACCTTTGGAAACTCCTTCTGGCTATGACCTCAGCATGGCTATCGTTGAGGATGTCTCCTGTGGCAAAGACAGGACAGCAATGAAGACATATGGAACCTGGAGAAGCTCTGGTGTTTGTAAGCAGAGCACAGCAATTGCCCTCCTCCAGCACCCAGGATGGCCATACAGCTCTGGAGGGCTTTGCCAGAAAGTATCACAATCACTAATGGCAATGCACTTACAGAAGGGTTCCTCAACTCAGCACTACTGACATTTTGGACAGGAAAATTCTTTGTTGTGGGGTCTGTCTTGTGCACTGCAGGATGCTGAACAACACTGCTGGCAGGCCAGCAGCCTGTTCTCCTCCTGCTCTTATGACAACCAAAAATGTCTCCAGACATTGCCAAAGTCCCTTGAAGGGCAAAATCTCCCCCAGCTGAGAACTATTAATTTATAGGGAAATCTTTATCTGGAGGACAGGGGTCCAGATCTCTTGTGCCTTGCTGTCACACTGGTGCTCATGAGGAAACAACCTCATGGAATTCAATCCATAGTGGTCCTGGAGCAGCTTCCTCATATACAGGAGGCAAAGCTAGGAAAATGGGGGACGCCAACTCCAGGAGGCTCTGCTAACTGGAAGCAGAAGGTGAAGATGCCAGATCTCTAAGGAATTTCCATGTTCCTTTTGGTGCCAAAGTCACCATTTAATTCCAGATTGCTTTCTGGGGCTTCAGTAAGATAATGTGGATTAGCTAAGCTCAGGAAACTTCTGGTTTGAGCATGAAAATACTGGCCAACTTTCAATCCATTCAGAAAGCATGTTCCTGGCAGCCTCTGCTTCCACTGTTTATTTTCATTTTTTATGTGAGTTATGTCCTTCCAACTGGAGCAATAGCAAGTGTGAACTGAAATGGCAGCCACCTCAGTAACATGACCCCTTTGCCCTGAAGAGGAAGGAGCAACATGGACACAGTTTCCAAAGCTCCCTAGACACGCGCTGTTTAGGCCCCATGTGGGCTTACCGCTCTTCCTCATTTTGGACTGGCCTATGCATTTTGTTCCTGTTCCCATTGAGACAACTTCCTTTGTCACTGAGGGAGAAAAAACACAAATCGTTAAGTGAGCTTTCAGAAACTGAACGGTCCTCTGTCCTCAGGTTTAATAAGTCTGCACATTCCTCTAGACTAGAGCATTCCCCATAGGCTGACCCATCTGCGAAGACCACTGCAGTTCCAGCAGGGCTGTCCCCTACGACTTACATCACTGCTCCACCTGGTGGAGAGATGGGGAACACGCCCAATATCGCAGTTTGTACCTGGCGACAACGGCCCCTGTAGAGCCCCGTATATTCTACCATCTCTGACAAGGAGAGGGAGAGTTGCAAGGAGAAAAGGTCTCACCTTGCACCTGTTTGTCAGGGCAGTCACAGGTCTGGTCAGCTATTCGCTGTATCTTCACCACGGCTGCTAGTAACGTCCATTCACGATTGGGCTCTGGCTTCCCCTGCTTGGGCAGCCTAATCCTATAGTGCTGATAACACAGGCTTGCAATCTCATCCGGGGTCCACATGGTCTGGGTTGGTGCTGAGACCCTAATCAAAAGCCACAGCCATCAGAAGTACAGGAGCCTTTCCCTTCCCCCTCGCCTTCCCCCACAGATGTGCATCTCCTAAACTCTAAGGTACAAGACTTGCAACCAGGGAGCAATGGGCAGTGGCAGCTCGTCCAGGGCTAAACCCCTGAACCTATCTCCAAGGCCCCCTTTTCTCTGACGCTCCAGTGAACTGACAGTAGCCCCGCCTCCGCTCACTTCTTTCCCTTAGTAAGTGTACTCTCAAAATTAAAAAAAAAAAAAAAGACAGAAAGGAAGGTCAATGCACAATGCTACACCCTGGCACCATTGTGCTTCAACAGGCTTTCCAACCACGTTCACACTTAGGTTTCTCTAGCTGAAACTCCATGGGGAATTTTCTCCCACTTCCCTGCTGTTTTTCATCTTTAAGGAAAGACCAAAGTCCCAAATCCCACCAACACCAGAAGATACCTTATTTCTTCAATGTGTTTTTTTTAATTCTCTTTTTCAGGAATTTTTTCTCTTTTCTCCCCCACACATTGATTCTTCACCTCCCTGTAGAAAATCTCCCACTGATGCCCTTATCAGGAAAGCAACCCTTTAATTTCTCTGATCATGTTTTTTCATGATGCAGAGGGGAGAAGTGGCGAGCCCAGTTGTTTCTCAACAGTCAAGTGTTCTCATAGGAAATTTTGAAGGATGTGGGCTTTAGAGTCACCCTTTCTGGGTTCCGATTGTGGCTTTGCTTATATTAACTGTGTGGAATTGGATAAATGAGCCTGTGTCTGTTTCTTCATCTGCTAAAATAGGAATAACAGTAGTATTTAATCTATGAGGTTATTGTGAAGATTACATAATATTTATAAAAAAGTAACTGTTGCCCTGGCTGGGTAGCTCAGTTAATTAGAGCATTACCCCAGTAGGCCAGGGTTCTGGGTTTGATCCCCGGTCAGGGTACATACAAGAATCAACCATTAAATGCATAGATCAGTGAAACAACAAGTCAATATTTCTCTCTTCCTCTCTCTCTCAAATCAATTTTTTGTTTTCTTTTTTCCTTTTTTCTCTAAATTCAATTTAAAAAATTTTAAAAACTGCTCTAATATTGAGCATACTTACTGTCAACTGTGATTAATATTATTAAAAAGAAACTTTGATTTCCCTGATTGATTTGCCTTGAGCTCCTTGAAAGGGAGGGGAGCTGTAAGTGGGTACATAAAGGCACGAATAAAAAACATTCATCAGATCAGACCTAGGACAGAGGCCTGAAAGAGGCCTAGGATACTTCGCTAGATACTCTCCCACTCTTGACTATTGACTCTATCAATGATGTCATTTGGACTCAAATATATGAAATCTTCTTTGTAGAAAATGGGATCATGTGGTGACCAGGACAAAGCTAAACATTTAAAATGAAAAAAGACGCTACTAGCCCTGGCTGGCGTAGCTCAGTGGATTGAGCGTGGGCTGCGAACCAAAGTGTTGCAGGTTCAATTCCCAGCCAGGGCACATGCCTGGGTTGCAGGCCACGGCCCCCAGCAACCGCACATTGATGTTTCTCTCTCTCTCTGCCTTCCTCCCTTCCCTCTCTAAAATAAATACATAAATAAAATCTTTAAAAAAAAAAGACGTTACTGAGCCCCAATGGATACACCTTCTGAAACTTGATGTTCTCCAATAAGCTACTTAAATTAACTACATACGGAGGACCTTAGACCAGTGTGGCTCTAATGGCCACGGTGGATATGTAAGCAAACCAAGATCTAAGGCTATAAATACTTCAAGGTGTGGAGGAAAAAGGGGCCACATACTGAACCTGACAAGCTTAGGGGAGGCCTGCATGGCAGTCCTACAAACTCAGAGACCAAAAGTAGCTACATGGATGGTCTGTATACAAAAATTCCTAACTGAAGCCCTGACCAATGTGGATCCTTTGGGCATTGCTCTGCAAAGCAAAATGTTGCCTGTTTGATTTTTGGTCAGGGTACATCCCCAGGTTGCTGATTCTGCCCCTGGTCAGGGTGAATACAAGAGGCAACTGATTGATGTTTCTCTCTCACACTGATGTTTTTCTCCTTTTCTTTTTTCCTCTCTTTCCTTCTCTCTAAAAATAAATCTAAAAAAACTTAAGGAAAAAAAGTTTAAAGAAATCCTAACTAAAAGTGAGTTATGGTGGGTAGTAACAACCTAGGCCTATAGCTTCCTTGACAAAATTCAATCTTTACCTTAAGTGAAACTGTCTATTGTCTTTCGAATCTAAGATAACGTACTTTTGAAATATCAGAGTAATCTTTTCCAGAACCTCTCATTGTTATCTTGTTCCCCATATACTAACTCTATGTGCTATAAGTGTTACTTATTAACTATCCTGTACCCACCAATGTAAAAACTATGTGTTTCTTTTGCCTTTATTATCCAATCCCAGAGATTTCCCTGCTTAGCTTTCGCCAGCCCACTTAATCTACATGGATTTCATGTAACCCTTCTTACATCTCCTTTTATTCTAATATATAAAAGGAGCTGCAGAACTGCCATTTTCCAGAGTATTTTTTCAGTCCATCATGATAGTGTTTCTTGGCAATTGTTAGTTTGGCTCAAATAAACTTATAGTGATTTAAAACAAGGATCTGACAGGAACTGACATAGATTATTACTTTAAAGTCAGAAAACCAGCATAAATCTTGCATATATTGGAGCAAAAGAAAAGTTTGGGAGATGCTAAACTCCTCCATTCGGATTTCCCTCTCATTTCTGGGAGGGATGGAGGGTGGCTATCACAGGGCAGTATATTTTATGAAGGCAGATACTCAGGGAACCGACCTGCAATGAAACCAGATACATCACGAACCATTAATAGCAGACAAGGAAGACGGAACTTGCTAGAAGAAACGTTGACTCCCTGAGATGAAGCATCCCAGACCTATACCATCACCTCATTCACATAGTTAAGTCTGCTTGAGTGTGCGCAATGGTTGAATGTTTTTGATATACTGGGTCCACTTAAATTCAAATACACTCTCTCCTAGATCTTGAATAGCGTCTTTCAGTTCAACAATAACTCAGTTAAACAGGCCTTCCCTCCACCCCCCAGGACCCCGCCCCCCACAAAACCACTTGTTATGACAACTGCAAAAGGCTTAAGAACCCACTTCCTTTTCAAATAAAAATTAAGATAGATCAGCTGCCTGCGGGGGGCGGGGGGGGGGCTGGGGGGGAGGGTTTAAGCGATGCAGGGAGGACCGTAAGCCTACTTCCCTCAGGCCCCCACCTCAATACCCTAGGAGGCCGGCTGTCTTCTCTACTGACTCTAGAGGCCCAGGCTGGGGCCCGTTCGGCTGGCTACTAGAGCGACTCAAGGTTACGAGGTAGACTCCGGCCCAAGGAGCAGAGACAACGTGCGCTCCTGCCTCTTGGGTCTCGCGGCAGGCGGCTGAGAGTGCACCATGCCCCGCGCTCGCTCTACACGCGGCGTAGGTTGGCACTTCCATGAAAGCCGCTGCACTTTTCCCCGTGCCGTGCGTGCATCGTGGGTGGCACGGCTCTCAACTCCCCCCACCCCAGAAGCTCCAGAGTCCCCCAGCTCACTCCAGGGACCTCCAGAGCGTAAACCCACCACCTCACGGACGCTCCCCGCCCACCTTTAGGACGCGCGCCCTGGAGGGAAGGAGCGGAACCCCGGTAGCGTTGGGAACGTGCTGTCACAAAGAGGCTGTCCCCAAGGCCCCGCCCCAGAAGTGCGCGGTGAACGCTGGCTCCTGTAGTCCTTCGCTGGAGAGGCGAGGGGAGCGGTGCTTGGTGCTTAGAGCTCCGCGGCTTGCAAGAGCTGTGCGGAGGTAGCTGTGAAATGAGCTGAAGGACGCTGACTGCGTGGTAAAACATGGTTCAAATAACAGTAGAATGATATTGTGTCTTGGAATACTAGTTTAAATTTCTGTATAAAACAGCGCTGCCCAGTAGAAATATAATTTGAGCCAGGTATGTAATTTAAAATGCTTTAGTAGATACATTTTAGATGAGATTGGGCGCGTTCAGGGTGCTATGGCAGTAGACAGTAGATATATTTTTAAAAGTCAAACGAAATAGGTAAAACTAATTTTAATAACATGTTTTATTCAACCCACTAAGTCCAAATATTATTTCAACATGTAATCAATATGTTAAAAATATTGAGGTATTTTGCCTGGCTAGTGTAGTTCAGTGGATTGAATGTGGACTGCAAACCAAAGGGTCGCTGGTTGGATTCCCAGTCAGAGCACATGCCTGGGTTGCAGGCCAGGTCCCCGGGAGGGGGCACATGAGAGGCAACCACACATTGATGTTTCTCTCCCTCTCTTTCTCCTTCCCTTTTCTTCTCTCTAAAAATAAATAAATAAAATCTTTAAAAAATATTGAGGTATTTTACACTACTTTTGTATATAGGTTTAAGAAAGCTGGTGTGTATTTTACACTTAACAGTACATCTCAATTTGAACCAGCCACATTTAAATGCTCAAGAGCTAGTGGCTAACAGGTTTAGACCCGTTAGCATAGGTCTAAAACCTTTAGAGTGCCAGAAATGGGCAGAATAAGCTGTCTGGACTGTTCAGGAGCCCATACAATCCTACAACTGTATACCTCAATTTCTGAAGATGAGAGAATTCACTTTTCTTCTTGTTAGCCCTCAAAAGTTAGACAGAAGTTCAATTTACTTGATCCCATCCTTCTCTCTAGTTCAGAGGACAAGGATCAGAGGCCTCCTCTGAGTCTAAAGACCCTGATCTTCTTTCTGTCTCTCCATCATCTTTAATCTGCAGCAGACTCCCCCTTCCGTCTTTAAAAGAGAGCTGCTTGTAGCAGGGGAACTATCTTCTAGGGTTCTTTGTCTCAGGGATTGGTACCACCATCAATCTAGTCCCATAAGCTAAGAAGTGAGTCACCCTGCTTGTTATTTCCCCTCTCTTAACCCTAACTTTTACCTTTTCTTGCCAAACTCCTGTTCTTTCAGAGAAGCCAAAATGCACATGGAATGTCACTCCCCTGCTTAAGTATTTCAGTGGCTTCCCAGCACTTAAAAAAAAAAATCTAGTTTTCAATTATAGTTGACATGCAATGTTATATTAGTTTCAGATGCACAACATAGTGATTAGACAATTAGATACCTTAAGAAGTAGTCACCACTATCCAGCACTCTTAAAATACAAAATTCTATAGCAGGGCTCACAGTCGTGCATGATCAGCCCCCTCCTGCCTGATCAGGTGGTGTATTTCTTTGGGCATCTGTATTCTGCTGTCATTGCCTTCTCCATGCTCTTTCTTACTTCAGGGTCTTTGCACTAGTTGCCATGCCATGGAAAGGCCTTATTCTTCTTCTTTGATTGTCTTCCTTCAGATCTCTGATCTAATGTTCTCAGGGAAACCTTCCTTAACTAGGTCTGTTAGTTTCTCAATACCCCATGGTCCTATCCTTCAAAGCATTTACCAGGGTTGCCATTTTATACATTTGTCGATTTTCCTTACACCTCTAGAAGCTTGATGAAGCTTGCGACCATGCCTTTGTGTTCACCCCAGGACGGCAGTTAGCAAATTGTGGGCCTTCAACTGTTTAAGG